AAAAATGATGAAAATGTCTTCTGAATAAAGTATAATTTTTTTTTTAAATTTATCGGTTAACTAACAACAATTGCCCCTTTCATAGAAAGTTTTATTCTTTTGTTCTTCACATGTTTCACAATTTTTTTTTAAATTAAATTTTAAATTTAAAAGGATAGTTTAGGCATAAATGTGATTTTACAAATAAAAGTATAGATGGACAAAGTTCAAAAAAAAACGTCCTATATATCCAATTTTCCCAAAATTTATTACTATATCCTTATGACAAAAATTATTCTATTTTTAAAAGTATTAAACAATATATAATCCGTTATTTTGAGGATATTTTAGTAAATAAATATTTTTAAAAATGTATTTTCCAAAACCTTAAAAAACAGAATGTATTTTTCAAAAGTTTTTCTTAAAAAAATCGATAATCGCTAGTTGGACGATCATAGCGAATCTATCATCTAATTAATTATTCGAAGATAAATTGAGGATTAATCGAAGATTATTGTAGACAATTTAAAAACAATAATATATGTATATACATATTAATTTTACGGAAAGTAACAATAAAATACCTTGGCCCAGGGTATGCATATTGATAGGCAATTGTTAGTATACGAGTTCGAATTCTATTTTGTTCATTTTGCCTTAAATTCTCGTATTTACTTTCAAAATTCAGAATTTACGAAATTATCTTCATCTTCTTATTATTTATTTGATATTTAATTCTAAAATAAGTTCTCGTATTTATTTTATATTTAAAATAATCATAAAATAACCAAAGAACAAATGTAACTTTATATATATTTGTCGATCTTGGTTTTTCAATGTTTTTGAGCTTCATATATTAAACTATCTTCCTCTTCGGATCTACTAGAAAATCTATAACCATAAACCTTTTAGTAGAGAGAGAAAGATGAGTTTTGAGAGACAAGATGAGTTTTGATGAAATTTGAGGGAGAGAGATTGAGTTTTGATAGAGAGAAATTGAGTTTTTAGATAGAGAAAAAGAGTTTTGAGGGACCTGAGAGAGCTTAAAAAACATTTGAGAGAGAAACCGCATTTGTTGTAAGCTTGATGAGAAAACGAGATTGAAGAAAAAATATGTATGATATGAAAGCTGTATGATACGAGAGTTGTGAAAACCCTAATATACGTTTTCACATTTTTTTATTTTTTTTTTCAATTTAATTTGCTATATACTCCTAAACGTAGTGATAACAATTATTTTTAGAAAAAACATCGAGGAAGGAGAAATAATATTTTAGAGGTTGTATCTTTTTTTATGTCAAACGAGAATCTCATTCGCTATGCGCAAG